TGACGCGGATTCGCTCGATGTGACAGGATAATGCCGCGGTGACTAATCGATATCGGTTCGCCTACGGGGCTTTTAGATCAAAACTAGCTCTCTAACAAGACATCAGGATAGGCAGGAAGTTAATGTTATGACGGACTCGCAATTAACTTCTTATTACATCGTCTTCTCTTCAGATAATACAAATGCGCTTTATTATCATAATCTAGTCAATTTTAAGCTCTCGACTCTCAATCCTCGAACAATTCATCATTAAATGGATTCTAAATAAATCTAATTTATTTTGTTTTAGCAATTTTTTCGCGAATTACATGAATCATGAAATGAAATATTCTTTTAAATAAATGTTCTACAAGAATGAAATTATTTCAGATTAATAGATAATAAATTAATTATTTCAGATTAATAGATAATAAAAATGCGCTTTATTATCATAATTTAGTCAATTTTAAGCTCTCCACTCGACCCTCAATCCTCGAACAATTCATTAAATGGATTCTAAATAAATCTAATTTATTTTGTTTTAGAAATTTTTTCGCGAATTACATAAATCATGAAATGAAATATTCTTTTAAATATGTAAATGTTCTAAAAGAATGAAATTATTTCCGATTAATTTAAAGATGTTTCGTACCTACTTTCAAAATATTGAGAATTTAATGAAAATTGTACAGAATGTCCTTACATAGGTTTAGAATCTTTAGTACAATTTTTAAATCGATTCACTAAAGCGTTCACAAGTTATAAGGATTTTAATTTGCATCGAATTAACATGTGTTCTTATGAGAAACGTATAATCACGTCGATTCAAATGACAAAAATACATGGAAATAATATTCAGAATTTGTTTAAAATTTGCAAAAGTTTGGATACAGAGGAAATATTTAGTCAAATAATATTATACAAGTACCAACTGGTTAAAAAGATATTAAATATAATTCAATGAAGTTAGCCATGTATCTGTCACAAGGCGAAATTCTCTGGCAAAAGTTAATCATTTCGATTAACAAAATTCGGAATATTTCAATAAAAACGCAATAAATATTAAAAAATACATTTCTGCATTGTAGCTAAGATCAAATTATAATATTCCACGCAATTTCTCATACTCAAAATACATCAAAAGTGGATATATTCGTCAATATTGATTTTCAGCTACTTTTTGCTGGGATTGTACAAAGCATCCTTAATTAATTATAAGTGAAGAAAATTATACATAAGTTTTTAATTTTTTAATCAGAATTCGACAACTAAATCGTTAACATTTTTAAAAATACAAATTTACGTGATATAAAAGGTCGAAATGGTACGTAAGTATCCGCAATGTTTCGAAACTACTTTGATTTCATTTCTGTCATCTTGCTCAAGTTACGATATCGTGTAAATTTAACAAGGCCTGCTAAGGAAACGCAAGCGAGGTCGTGAACCTGATCCTTCCTTGGCTGCCAAGACAATACAGGTAATTGTCGTGATTAATTCCGTGATTTTCTTAATTCCGAAAGCAGATCGGATAGCTAGTTCACTTCAAGTTAGCCTGAGTTGGAAAGCTGCGCCGAGTAATTTAACGCTTGCGGGTTGTTATCGATTATCGAGAGCGCGACTCGTTACCAATAAGTATTTGCGCCGCGGGATATAAGTCTCGTATATCGTTTGCGATGACGTTTGCAACAGCGTGATTTGTGTTTGAAACGTGCAAAAATACAATTATCGGGGATTAATTTTTTTTTAATACATTCAGATAAGAACGCATGTAAAAATTCATCTCTTTCATTAATAAAAATATGTTAATCTATCGCATATATATTTTTAACGGTTTGTAATATAATGTATATAAAATTAAATAAATCTTTATTAAATTTCTTTTTTGATATAATAAAACTGTAAGTGTCATGTTTCTACAAATATGGACATAAAGTTTAGTCCATAGCTATTATCTCTAAAGACACCTATGAAACTAGATTGTTGCGTGATTTTCTGAATAGATTAGTACATTGAGATAAGGAATGATATGTTCCCCTATACATGTATATTTCTAATTTACGACACATTGTTACTCCGACAACGTGTCGTAAAAGCGGATCAATTTTATGCAAAATATTAATATTATAATAGAAAGCTATCGTATGAATAATGTATTCGCTACAGTACTACCTTGACGAATTATAATATATCGGAATAACATTTTTATCGTTATCATTATTTATATAATGTTATTATCAATATTATTATACATAATCTGCCAAGTTAAGCTCGCAAATTAAAAAACAATATGTAAACTATAAATCTTTTATTACCGAGAAATTTATGATAAACGATTCTGATAAACGAAAGCAACAATATATGTATCAGCATAATTCGTGACTCACGTTCGATCGAGCAGAGGAATCGAGATGGACCAAAGGGACTGACTCCCAGCTTCCATTTCCCGAGAGCCACTCGCCCTTAGCGTACCGTCCTTTTAGGCAGGTCCTTCGTACCGGGAATCGCTTAACGAGTCGGAAAAATCAAGTCTCTTTTGCCGAGACCGAACATCGCTTTTGCGTTGCTGTAAAATCGTGTCTAATTAACCGTAAAAATAACGAGATTTTTGCGATATCGTCGCAAACTGCCTTCAGATTTGACTTATAAAATTCACGAATGCAAAATGAAACATCAGCGTGAAAATGAAAACGATATTTTTATCCCTTTGAGGAAAAAAACATAAGAATTAAATCAATCTTTAATAAATAATTAATCTGAATTTTCCGTTCACTGAATTCTCTCTAGATATTTTCGTGTTTTCCAATACAATTAAATTACAAATAAAAATAAAATAGTATCATTGTTAAAGCGGATCTTTCTCAGACTTAATTAGAAAGTGAAATCCCATTACTTTTATAATCGAATCTTACTTTCTAATTAAGAGCAAGTATATGTAAATTTTCCGAATCCCTTTGCTCGAGCTTTTTCAACTCTTTCGACGTTAAATAGCAATTAAGTCTTTCGCTGTATTTTCCCTACAGGATAATCAATATGCTTTTTTTTCTTCTCTTTTTTCGTCAACATCGTGTATCGCGTGCTTTCAATTAATCCGAAGCACGTATTGTATACGTAAAATGTAAAAGAGAGCGGGCAAAACTCTCGCCATCGTTAGTCTACAAGTTTCGAAAGCTCGGTATCGAGATAAAACGATAATGCACAGCTCACCGAGCTAAGGGAGGGAGCCTAAGGGTGCCACCCTTGGCTCGAGGGTGCGTCATCAGATTTGTCTCATTAGAGTTCGCATTGTGCCTGCCTATGGTCGATTTACGCTCTCTCGTTATAGCCATTCGCCGTCTTCCGCTGTTTTCTTGGATCTCCCAGAGATTCTTGGCTTTTTTCTCCTTTTCTATGATCTAACGAGCTTTCATTAAGACCACAATGCATTTCTCTTGTTTGCGCATGATTGGCGTGATATTTATGTCCCATATTGTATGTCCATAATGAGAAAAATATATAAAAAGAGAAGAAGAGGAATATCAGTGAATATATATAAATTTAAAAAATTTTAATAATCACTCTAATAGTGCATAAATTTATGATGGTTTTAAAAATTTAATACATAATTTCATGAAAGATTTTAGAGAAGAATAATGCTTACTCTTTATGTATATATCTTTATGTGAACTACATACACAAATTATGTAACTACTTCAATTTAACTGCTCCGGAAAAGTGACTAGCATAAGTTCTATAAAAATTTCGAACTATTACATGTTATAATATTTTCAACTATTTTAAAATACATGAGATATAATATGATTATGCGAATATAGAGTCGGATATCCGCAGCTCTTTTCAGAACTTTTTTTCTCTCAGGTTAAATATACCGTACTTTCTCACTAACAAGAAAGTATCATTAGCAGGAATCGATAACCTTCGCCGAGCTTCTTGTCCCAACTTTTAAAGTTACGACATTTAAAATTCCGTTTAAGACTCAACTTCAAAGTTTCTTCTTAGGCCATAGAAATTACGGGCATATCGGTATTTTACTTTCGTAGATAAGATCATTAATTTACAGCGACTCTTTTTATCCACAATGCCATTTGCATCTATTAGTATTTCTATTCGTATAAACTTTTAATAAAATAATAATAATAATAATACCGTTACGCACATATGTCATATATATCATGCGCATTTTTTTATAGTTTTATATTATCCATACAAAATTCCACTAGTCGTTCACTGGTATTTGATAAAAAGTTTGCATCTACGATAAATGTTTTTTATATTTTTATACATTTATTTTATCGTCATGTTTTACTATTTACATATCTCACACGTTAAACTACTTTATTGTAAATATAAAATACAATTGTACCGCGAGTTATATAAAAATATTATATTAATATATCAAATAAAAGAATTGCGATATTATTTACATCATTAACACTATATTGTAAATTTGTTCTTATTTTTATTTTCTAACTACAGTTTGTGTGTATCACTTTGGATATCATGTGATCAGAATAATTATTTATTCTTCAATTCAAATTTAAATTTGTAAAAATTTGTTACTTGTTATACATAATTATTTTTTTAACGCATTTGGTACAATTAAATTCAAGATATACAAATTAGAATTATTAATAATAAATAAATAAAGAAATATTAGTAATAAATAAAACTAATTACAAATATTAATAATTTGAACACTATCAGCTGATTATGTGATTTATGTAATATGTATGTACGTATAAAACACATTAGCCATTTTTAAAATATTTATTTCTCGGGATTTCTTTTAGTTCGTGTTTCTTATACAAATTAAAATTATTAATAATAAATAAAGAAAGAAATATTAATAATAAATAAAATTAATTATAAATATTAATAATTTGAACTCTATCAGCTGATTACGTGATTTATACAATGTGTATTTTTAAAATCTTTATTTCTCGGGATTTCTTTTAGTTCGTGTTTCTTCCAAAAGAGGAAAGATTCCGACGCTTAGTAACATACGAGTTTGTTTCTTATTGCAGCGAGTTCTCCGGAACCGCGTACCTGTCCGTACTTGGGTAAGTTCACGGTGACAGACGTGAATAGGACACGGAATACGCGCGAGAGTCGCAGAAGCCAACACCAGCAAGGGTCCTTACCCATCCGTCACGACGGTGAAAAAGTGCGACACGCTCAAGAAAGGAACGAGGATCGGCGGAGCCGCAAGTTGGATTACGAGGTGGAGAAGAGACGGGCCAACAACGAGTATTTGATCCATGAAAGAATGGGTCGACGGGCGCGTTCGAATCGCGGCAATCGGGGTCACAAAGACTACAGCCTGGAGGAAATCGCCACCTCATCGAGAAGATCCGAGCTGGAGGATACCTTCCGAGATTTGCAAGAGCGTGCCCTGCGCTCGAAGGTCAGAAGGTCAGGCGATCACTCGGAGCAACGTATCACGGAGAGCTTGCGCTCCAAGACGAGAAGATCACGCGCTGTCAGTCGCTTCGAGAAACACGTTTCGCAAGAGGCTGAATACGCGAAGGTCAGCAACGAAGGTAGAGAAATCAAGGACGAGATAAACTCGAAAGATAAGGAGAACAGATCAAGAAGATATCCGATAGAAGACTTCCGGTCGAACGATGGAACGGATACGATCGGACGTTTCTGGGTCGTGGAAGACCCTTGGAGCCCCAGCTCACTTCAGGTGCAGGACGATTATTTCGGGGATTATCTGGAGGTCGAAAATCCGCCACGAAAGAGATCCGCGTCGGATAGTCCGACCGACAAAGGTTATATGACCTACAGGGATCTTCTGAGGATGAAGAGGGAGCTTGAGGAACGCGAAAGAGACGAGAGCGTTCCGGAGAGAAGGGAGAAGAGGAACGAAGATGACTCGAGGTGCAGCTCCGAGGTGACGACCTTAACCGTGGGCTGCTCCACAGCAGACAGGATGGAGTTTCAAAGTGACTGCGTCGACGCTATCACCGGTAATTATCTGCCTTTTCTTCCTCTTTACCGCATCAGACTGAGAGCCTTATGCCGTACTTGCCCCTTGAGCGAAAGCACTATACCGTGAGGTAGGATTATTTTTTCAAGGCATCTTGAGAATTCGACACAACTAAAGAGCGACTTTTTAACGTTAGAGAAACGTTGGTTAAAGCCGATTTTTTATTCTGGCAAGAATCTTGGAGAAAAATCAGATTATTTTTTCGAACTTTTCTGTATTATTTATTTTCTGAACAATATTTTTTTAAATTACACATAAACTGTTACTCTTTAGTACTCTGTCCTTAAGAAAAAATTAAAATTCCAGATTGAGCAGAAAGATCGTAAATTCAAAAGATTTGTAAGATTGCGTGAAACTGAAATATTCTATATATTGAAAAGTTTGCAAATGTATATCATTTTTCAAGTAATATTATACAGCTACCTTTTTCTCGCAATTTTGTTAACATCGATTGAATATTTATAGAAAATGTGATTGATGAGCTTAATAGTTATTCGCATAGATAAGCGATGTGTTTACTTCTGCTGGCTTTTTTTAATATTAGAAGAAAAGATTGACACTCATCCCTTGTCTTTACAAAGAGATAAGAACTGTCCATCATATTTATATAGGCATAAACAGAATTTACATAGTTAATATTAATTAAGTAAATGTTAGCGATAAATCTCTCAACAAAGACAATACATTTATTGCGCTTACGAAAATATATAGAGACAATATAACGAATTCGAGTCTTTCCGCGTTAAAATTGATATTTAAGACGACATATAGGGTGAGAAACTTACATCTCGTGTGCCGTTTATCAATCACGATAATGTCGCAACTTCAATTAGCATGATTGAAATAGTATTCGAGGTCGCCCTCCTTCGTTATGTTAAGCTCGAAATATTTAAAAGAACCACGAGCCACGTTCACTTTCCTCCTCCGACGTTCCATATAGACTTCTCGGGCCTGTAGATATTCTCTCGACCCTCGACATCGCTTCGAAGTTTATTTCGGGGGAATAATGGCACTCGAAGGGTAACGGCCGTCGAGACGCCCGGGCGTTATTATCCCGAAACTTTCTCAAATCAAACCCTCTCTTCCCTTCTATACGAAGATCACTCTAGCAGCCTCGTGCTCTCTCTCTCTTTGCCTTCCAGCCTACTCTTGCCACGGTAGATGGTTTGACGCCGAGGGCACGCAGTTCGTGATCGCCACCCCGTTGGCGCGCAGAACAGCGTGGTCGAACAGCGAGAGCAACAATAGAGCGCAGCCCTACAGAAACAGCCGTAGACTGTGCTTCATGTACAAAGAGAGCGGCGGAGTTGTCAGTTTGACTGCTAGTCCCATAGCGTGTCAGAGGGGCATCCCGCCGCCCACGCCGATGTTGGCCTTCAACGCTACCAGCACCGGTAAGTGGCAACCTTCGTCAACCCTCTCACTTTCCGTCGTTGCGCATTTCATCCCGGATTAGCGTTAATCCAAGCGAGAATACCGAGGACGAATATATACGAGCGCGCACAGAAAAAAAAGAAGTGTCAAATCAAAATATATACTTATATACTTAAATTATATTTATATACTTAAATATGTACTTATATACTTAAAGTAACGCGTTCATTGTTTCGTATATACGCAACAATTTCTAATCTTCTTAGAAGAATTTAATAATTTTAAATTTTAACAATATTATCGTCTTATTTTAATATTGTAATTGTCTCGAGAATATATAATTATTTAATTCTACTTTAAGAAAATTATAATCTTTGATTTAAAAATGTTATTTTCTATCTAACATCGTTTCTTTTCCATTCAAGACAATTAAATCTTAAATCATGAGAATGTATGTTTCTCGATTGAACTATATAAAATGGCTTCATTCAAGTAAGCAATTATTCAAACAATTATTTTCTTAAATTAACGCGATATAATTTCATTTCAAGATTTTCCATGTTAAAGCTCAATATATTTTCAAAATAAGAATGTCCTTTTTTTCTGTGCGATATGTATTCAAAATTTATTACGTTAGAAATGTATGTGCAATAATCTCAAATTTTATAATATCCTTTTATCGGTTATCTTGGATACCGGCAATATAAGAAATCGATTACTAGAAAAATAATACAAAGTTTATTTTAAAAATTCTGTTTATAAGATTTTTTTTAATTATGTGGATTACTGAAATACAAATTTAATATTAGCACCTGGAGAATGTCGTTAGAAAATAAAATTGCTTCTTGTATATACAATGAAAAAATAAAAAAAATATTTTATATTGTTCGATTTGATAAGAAAAAACTTTCCTCTTTATTTAAAATTTATTTTAATACATGAATCGGAAAGTAGAAATAATGTATGAGAATGTGCAAAACACAAGTTTTCGAATATGTATCAAATATTGTACAAAACTCAATATCCCCAAACATATGACACAAGACGATATCCTCTTAAAATTGAGAATTTATTTTGCAAACTTATCGCGACTATGCCCGACCGGGAAGGCGCGACGAAATTTTCCGCAAAACGTTCTCTCGCAAAACGCGTACTCCAATAACTTGCTCGTGACATGGAGGCTGCGCCATCCAATCGAAATCGCAGAGTCAGCGATTGTCATCCGTTGCGTCGCACGAAATCTCGTCGCGAGAGGGTGCGTGACAGCCGCGTATATAATTTAGCGCGACATTCGTGTAGCTCTCTGTGACAAATAGACTGCGACAGCGCGTTGATAAACGCTGAATTATGCGTCGCTAGACTTAGGGCTATCTCATATATAATCGCGAAATAATGATTAAATATGATAGATATATTATCTTAATATTACGTTATTCATGTTACTAGCGGTTCCTTGATTTCAATTTAATTTGGCAAACGAAACGTTTCTTAAACATTTAAATCGTATTGCAAAATTTACGCTGATCAAAATTAAAGAAAATTATGTTAATTTAAAAAGATAATATTAGATAGATGATTGATTTTAATAAAATTTATAGATGATTGGTTTTAATAAAATTCTAGAGAGAATAATTTTATTTACAATATTTTTTTAAAACTTTCTATAAGCCTAGATTTTTAAATCAGTTTTATGTAGAATAATTATATGTTTAATTTTACACTCAATACATATTTTTAAGGACAAAGTATTTAATATGTACTTGTAAATATGCATTTTTCAAGTATGAAAAATGCTACTGCTAATTAACTGAGTAACACAAAATAAAAAAAGTGATTGCTGCTTAATTGCGATTAGATATATATCGTTTTTTTTCTTGCACACGAAATTATACACACCGTATGGTAGTAAATATTCGTCACTATCGTTCCAGGTCAATGCATGGAAACAAATGGCGGGCAAATCAGCCGATCGACATACCTGACGATCGCTCTGCTGATGGTGGCTGTTGCAATATTCAGGTGATTCTAATCGAAAGCGCGACAATTAATTCAAATCAGTTAAAAATCGAATTCAAGTGGTATCGAACACTCAGTGATCGTTAAAGATATTTGCGATATAGTGATCCATGAAATGCGATGCGACAGTCAATTGATCGAACGCTTGGATCAATCTATAAGAAAAAGGACAAAGAGTGCGATTTCAAGCTGTGAATGAGAAAAATGCGGGAAAGACGAAGCCATTGATCGGTTTATGCAATCGTATTCGTGGCTCTTGTTAGTTTTTAGCTGTCGAGAGAAACTCGCGTTCGAAGTGACATTCTCGCGTTGTTGACGAAAACAAAATGGGTAAACAGTGATGGAAAAAGGAGAATACAATGGATCGCGAAATGACGGAGAATTGAGGAAGAGCCCAAGAAATCAGTGAAAATTAGTTGAAATTCCAACGGACTTAGTGCGTGATCGAAAAGAGAAAAGCTTGAGCGCGAGTTTTCCTTAACAAATAGGTTTTTTTACTGGACATGGCGCGTAGGCACTAAGATTGGACGAATAAATTAACGAAATTATTAAGCAATTTTTATGGTTAGACCATATCACGAGATCGATATCGCGAATCTCGATTGAAGATTGAGAATGAAGGACTTCGTAGGATCGATCATTTTGAAGTCCTATCGTTTCTAACCGAAAAATACGATAGAGTTACTTTTTAAAACGTAGAAAAAGGGAGGACTATATACATGAAAAGACTATAGTCTCGACAAGTGCAAAAAGGCGAAGAAGGAGCACCTACACGGTAAATATTTTCTTCGCCGGGCGAACGCTCATTTCTTTGCTCATTCTCGGGCATGTACCCTCTCAATAAATACCGACTAATTGACGATACGCGTAATAATTATATCGATAAATTACATGTAATATTCGCGGTGAGCATCCTCCGATGGATCGAGTGGACTCTTGCATGTCCTCACGAAATAACGCCGCAAGGGGATGAAGGAAAAATGATGGCCGGTGAGTCGCTAGTCCTTCAAGAATGAATCAACCGAGTGAGAGCGGAAAAAAAATTTTTTCTCCAATTAAAAGTGATAAATAGGAAAAAATAGATAAGAATAATAATCCTTAAAATATCGGCACGATAAAAAATCTTTTGATCGATAGGAGTAAAAATGTGTAATATTATTTCATCGAAAGGGTGATTTTCTCGAGGGTGGAGACTCGAAGGATTATTAAACGAGATGAAACTCAATTTTCGAATATTGGTATTCTATCTCGGGGGCTCCCGGCTCACCACATTTTTCGTTATTCATCCGTCGAGAGGAGCCGCCGAGAAATCGCACGCTGTAATGCGTCTTTCTGCGATAAGTGGAGATTAGCATCTCGTTAGGCGCAATGCAAATGGCGGTCCCGTCTATAATTCTAAGTTCCATTCGTCGAGAATAAAGATCGCATGCAATGTCTTTAACGTTAAATGCATGGTGATCGACGCGAATTTCTTTGTTTCTTAAAAGCATTAGCTTAATCGTGACGATGATGCGTGCGAGTGACATTTCTTCGGCGATCCATTTGACGTAAACATTAATGTTAAGCAATAAGCAATAAAGATACACGAACATATATACAAAGATATACACACGCAGACACATATATGCGGCAGCAGCACGCTCGAGAAAATGGTGATAACGAGGAAGATGTGCTCGTAGAAAGAAGCTTAACATCTTCACGCTTTCTCAAGCGTGAAGATGTTAATTTCAAGAAGGAACTCGGTTATTAGTTCCACATTTTCGCGATTAATGACAACAGATAAAGGCCGGATATGACGTGTAGGAACGCTACGATATTATTGTAACTAATACAGAGTCTATATTATATTATTGTACAACCATCTTTGTAATAATTAAGCCGTAATCGCGCGCGAGTGACAAGATATGTAGGAAGAAAAACAAAGAGGAAGTTAGAAAGAGACAGCAGGGAGAAAGCGTGAGTGAGAGATAAAATGTATACATGTACGAAAGAGAGAAGGAAAAAGAGAGCGAGTGAATGAGAGTGAGAATGAAAAGAGAAAGAGAAGAGAGGGGGTGTGAAAAAAAAAAGAGCGAACCATAGGAAAAAGCCAATCGCTATTTTAGCACTTTTTCAATAACGTTGTATGTAGTTTTTACGCCACTTACAACTACTTCCGTCGGATTTGATTTAATCAATCAGTGACGTCAACGAGATTGATTCTTGAGAAGCGAAATCCAACGAATACAGCGATGAGAGATCTGTCATCGCGTCAATCACGCATCATTCATTTATATCCGCTTTTAATTATCTCTTCTTTTCTCCCGTTCCGATCTCTCGTATAACATGTGTGATAACGTTCACAAAAACTTTTATCGCGATAATCGCGTTACATTATTTGCGTCATCTCGCCCTTGCTCTCAATCGATCGTCAGAATAGGTATTAATTAGCACATGTTATTTCACGCTTACTCAAGAATTTTCTCGGATAATGCGCTTCATCGGGCAACACTATCTCCGTTTCAGGATCAGGGTTCTCAGAAGAGAAGGATCGATCAACTTTCGTTCAACAGGTATCTCCAGGTACGCACCGTGAAGATTATTACCGTCAGTGCGCACAGAAAAACGAGAATGACTCGCGCCACGAGCGAGTCATTTTTCATCGACAGGTAGGATTTAGGCTACTTAGGACACTTTAGCGGTTATCACATTAGGAGCCATACTGTACCTATGAGCGCAGCGTACACACACACACATATATATAGCGTATATGAAGTAGTTAAGATCGGACCTAGTTGTTAAGATTTCTCTAGCTTCTTAGGGGATAATAAGCTCATTGTGAACAGCAATCAGATCTGATCTAGATGCCCCGCGGTTATGAATCACGCATGTACAATTCCGACAAAGTCCGGTCTTCAGTCTCGTGTCTGACAACGAAGCGCGAGGTCTGTCGGAGGAGTGTGCGACTATCGGTGAAAATAACTCGATACAGTAATAATTTAATTCACATTTTTTTTTTCAAGAACTAGGAAAAATTAATGTCGAAATTTTTTGAACTTTAATATATATTTTCTGTGCCTGTTTAAGAAAAAGATCATGAATTAGAGTGCTATATCCGATATTCCAATTTGAGAAACCACGCAAAGATTTGTATTCCGCATGTTCCGAAGGCTTCCGACATAGAAAATTTTTAGAATTAAGGGATTTAATTTAAGGGATTGTTACATAGTGTGGATTGAAGTGCTGAATTAAAATGCACAACTTATGCCATCAACCGGAACAGAAAGGATAGGTTTCCAATTATTTAATACCCGATATATTTTAGTTAAAACAGTAACTGTTTATTTTCCTTTCGAGTATTGTTAAAATTATTTCGTATAAACTTAATATCCGAGATTTCAAATCTCGCGATTTTTTGTTTCATTATCTCACTTATTGCAACGGAATAGAACCGAGTGTACAAATATTTTTCAAAGTGTTTATATATATTTTTCCATTTATTTCTATTCGCTTTCGCAATTTCCGCTTTACGCAAAGCTACAGAATGCACGCAATAATCAGATTAGCCGAAGCTGACACGAACAAAAAGTGGAACGGACTAGCGATATCAAAGAATAAAAATTGCTATTTAAACATTGCTACGCGCGCATTACTTTGCTTTTTAACTTCCGCCATCTTGCAGTTTACGTTTGAAAACACACGCTTTTTGAACAATTCGTCCATAAATTGCATTTTATTATTTTTTAAGGAATCATTTTAATTTAAAATGTTCTCGCAGAAAAGAAAAGTTTATTAATAAATGACATATGTGTGTGTATATTTGTATCATTGAGTTAGTAAAAAATTTGATACACTGATACACACACATGTGAAAGGAAACTTGTGAATATTTTACACCATGTTTCGCAATCACGAATAAAATTTTCGATGATGAGAACGATCGAATACGGAAGTCACGCGAGATCGTAACCGGCACTCGAACGAATGTTCGAATATTCTATTATTTTCGATTTGCTCGATGCAAATATCGAGAGATTCGATAATTATCAGAGCACTTGCAAACATTATTGCTAACTGACCGCTTCCGCTCGCGTCACTCTCTTTCTCTCTCACTCTTTCCTTCTCGCTTCTCCTCTCTCTTTTCCTCTTTTTCCTTTCTTTCTTTTTTTCTCTTATTAAACATTATGCATATCATTTAATGAGATTGGTGCAATTGTCCTGATGCATTTAATCCTAATTTGCATTGCGTATCCTAATATCGTACGCGAGCATTCCGCTAATGGAATCACTAATAGGATACAAAAATATTTTTCTCGCTTGTTATTGTTTTCGATAGATTAGACAACCTCCGGCAGAAAATTTCTATCGATCATATCGCGCAAGGAAATTCGCCGCACCGCATTTATTTTATTTTATTTGTATGTACTCAATGAATTTTCTATAGTAACGAAATTTACGGTGACAAAATATCTGACTCGAAATATCTCGGAAAAATAAGTGATTCCACACATCACAAAATAAGTCAATTTAAAAAGTTAAATCTTCAAAGAAACTGTTAAATTCTGATTTATAAGACTAATTATTTTATTTTATTTTATTTCTTATTATTCATCGTCGAATTTGAACTCGCAATATATCTGCTAAAGACATAAAAACATTAAATTTTTAAAACTCTTTTTCGAAGCGTCGGCTTTATTTAGAGAAATGAAAATTATCCTTAACAGCTGATCTGAATCTCTTTTGACAGAAGCGCTGTCAGTGATGAATCGGTGCACAATCTCCAAAATGATGTTAAGACGCACTTTTCGCGAACGCACTGCACGCGGTTGATTTCACCGCAGTGCGGATGTGGCTTCGAAACCGATGTGAATACCGAACAGGGATTAGAGCATCACGTTTAGCCGTACGGGCCGGCGGCGCGGCGTACCGAGACGATTAACGATTTTATGGAAGCTCGTCTAATGGGATTATCGGATTACTTCCGTGTCGGTACAAGTACTCCGCGCGCGCACTATATTACTCCTCGCACTACTCTGTGGATTACGTTCTCATTCTTGAGATCGCTGACGCCGAACTGTTATTCTTTGAGATTTCGGATGCGAGATTTCTCAGCCACCGAGTCACGATGAAATTGGTTTCGTCGCAAACGAATAATTTGAATATCGATTTTGTTCTTTATTAAATGGATTTGTTACTTTGATAACAGCATGGAACATGATGAAAATAGAAAATTAAATTAAATTAAACTAAATTAAATTAAATTCAGGGAAAATGCGCTATTTTTGAAGTGTGTAAATAAAACGCACGTTTAATAGAATAATATTTGGATAAGAATATTATTTTATGTTTCAAGTTTTGTGTCGTACATATTTTATGTAAATCTGTGATTTATAAATTTCTTTGATCTTAATTTTTTTAATAATTGGCATCTTTAAACTCACTTCCTCTCATTTTTAATTTTCCTTTATTTCTTATTAAGTTTCAAATTAACTTTTAATTATCTGTTTTTGCAATATTTGATTTAAAAGTTTTCCGAAACTTTTTTGTTTTAACTTTCGTATTATATTTTCGTCAAAAAAGAGAGAGAGAAATAGAGGGAGAAAGAAATTATGTATCTTAGAATTTATAAATTCCAATAGCTATTCGTATTTCTGGAAATTTTAATGTGTTTCCGAAATAACTGACTTTAAATGAGTGGAGTATTAATATGATTAGAAATAATTAATTCATAATTTAATTACGAAATTAAATGAAGTATAACTTCGTAATTTTACCGATTTTCCTATCTCTTTTTGCATACTTATTAGAATATTTTTAAAGCTTTAACTACGACACAATAAGATATCACACAATTTATTAATATTATTTTATTTTTTTATTGTCAAATATATCAAGGATAAATATATACGTGCCAATATTATTTCCATTTAAGTTTTTATTTATTTCTATTATTAAATTGTACTCGCATACATTTTTTTGAATAATGATAACGTTGTCACTGTTACTATTATCGTACTCTTATCATCGTTTCTCAATTTGAAGATGGAATAGCGAGATGAAACGAGGCCGCATTTCCGCTTTTTCCGAAAAAAAAGGATGAAAATAACGGATGCGCTCACGGGCTCGCGATTTATATCGTCATAAATATATTTACGGTTATAACTCGAACTCTCTTCGATATCGTACGACGCTTTATTTCATAGCTTCCGGAAATAGATCCGTCGACTTCCCGCGTCTCTAGAGGATCGATACTCCGATAAAATCCCGCCCGTCCATTCACAGCCGCTCGAAAACAATCCGCGATTATTTCCCTTCGTGAAATACTGTCCGCGTATTCTCTTCTCGAATCAAACGTGCATCCGGCATGCAAAAAGACAGAGAGATTATCAGTGATATCCAGTCCACGCGGCAACGACCGCGCCTCGTATTAACTCATCGTTATCAAAAACGATTCACAATCAGGGTCACCGCAAAAGCAAATTACACATTAATTAAGAAATTATACATTAATTTAAAAAATTCGAGATTTAATTTTAAAAGTATCTAAATCCAAATTATTCTTTTTAAAAATTTGAAAAATAAAAATATATATATTATATAATTTTCATATAATTTTTTTCCACATAATATTAAGATTCCCTCAGGTTCCTATAAAGTTCAATTAAATTGTTGTTCTTGTCTTTTTTATTTCAGATTTAAAATTTTTAAATACATATATTAATATGTATTTAATTACATATATTAAATATTTATATTAAAAAATATATATTATACAACACAAATATATCACAATTTATATCAATCACAATATCATTAATTGTGAAATATGAAATGCAATTATTAAATATGTAAAAAATATGTTGCAAAGGATTGTGTCTTAGAAGATTATGTTTTAAGCAATATTTCTTTTTGCTCGATTATCATGCTTGTTAAAAAACAGTCAAAAATGATTAACTGAAGATTTTGAAAAATTATCGTGCGCCCCTGATGTGTCAATCTTGTCCACGATAGAGATACACGCATACGCGTGTCATTTACGGTTTGAAAACTATCGTCGTCCGGAGATTAGAGTGCTTTCAGTGCCCTATGGGGAAATGACGAAACTTCCCCCAATCTGTAGAAGGTAACGACTCCCGCGTGTGCGCATGAGAGTCGCGATGCGTCTCGATTACGAGAGAGTACAAGGGGAGGAAAAGAAAAATGCGAGTCGCTGATAGCTTACGTTTTTCACAGCCCAAATGCCGGAAAGTTCTTAAGCGTCATTGTGCTGCAGATTCAACTTCGCAATGACAAGCGAGCTTCTTCTAATTTTCCACTGAATTGTGATCCTTGCATTTGCCGCGTGCCACACATTTAAAACTTTCTCTATTAATTTATTTCAGCCATATATATGTATATAATAAATTTATGATACTATTAAAAAAGTTCTTTTAATTTTATTTATATATATGTATATGACACTATTGATTATTTTGAAGATTCTAATAGAATATAAGCTTGATGTCTGGATGTTCATAAATTTATCTGTTATAGAATTTAATTTTCTCTACAAAATCAGAAAAAATCAACTTTTATATCATTGTTTTTTTTTCAATTATTAAGAAAAATATTTAATCTTTTTACTCTTATAGTTAAGTCAAACGTATGTAACATTCTTTTAATGTTAAACATCAATTGTAACTACCATTTTGATTTATAACACCGGCTATATAATTGTTTCTGTGATCTATTTTTATAAAAGCAGAAGCCAGAAAGGTAGAATACAGAAATGGATTTAGTTCCTATTATACTCCACTCGACAAATGTGAATTCGGCGTTCACCCTTGGAAAACGAGCATAACTTTCCCAAAGGGGAATGGGAATCAACGTAAAAAATGCGTTTTCGGAACATGTGGAATTGCGTGCCACGAGACTTTCGCATACACCGTCACTTTTCTTCCCAGTACAGTATAGTCGACACCCTCCGTCGATTCGAGGACGTTTTCAATCAAGGGACAATCATCCCTCGACGAGCAATCCAAGTTCTATCGGATCAGTCTGCCGTTTCGTCCCTCGACGAGACACGGAAAGATCCTTCCCTTCCTTCCCCCAACCTTCTTATACGAACAACGATAGGAATAACTTCCGCTACACCCCCAACAATAGTCTCCGAATGTAACGACGCTGCAAATGCGTGCGAGAGATGTAATAACGCCACTCTGCGTTTCGACTAATGTTGACTTGCGTTTCGACTAATGTTGACTAATGTTGACTAATGATGTCCTCATAGTTGGTCCCCATATGTTTCTTTATATCTTTTTTCGATCACAAAAATGGCTCTCATCACATTTCAATTTTTTATTATTGAAGATAAAAGCATTTTATTACAGATTATGTACTGTTTTTATAGTCTTTCTTGAATCAATTAATTAAAATAAAAGAGATGAATATTTTGAAGATTTCTTCATATTTATGAATTAAATAATGCCAGTTTAAATTAATTAGCATAAATCTTTTCATCAATTAATTGATAAAAAGATCGTTAATTTGCGAAAAATCTTAAATGATAGAAAAATGTACACATTATTGATCAGCGTGATCAAAGTTGATTAAGAGGGAATTATTAATATTGAAAATATAGGATAGTGCGGCCAGGACAGATTACTGATATACGTATACGCGTGTATTAAAATTTCGATTGTGTATATAGATATAATACTTTTGTGCGCATATTATCCGATGCGTCCAAAGAAACATCGAAACACGCGTGTGTAACGAGTGCAAAAACCGCGGGGCAATGTAAAAAAAAAGAAATGTCGACGAGAGTATCATCACCCGATATTTTATTCTCGTATTCTCTCTAACTTGGAGAATGACATCAAATTGGATTATTCAGCGCGAATAATCGAAATGGAATCGAAAAGTGGAATCGACCGTTCTTATATTAATGTGAAATTTTGATAATGCGCTTGTAACGCGAGGGAAATTGCCATCGAAGGCAAACGATCTCATTTCACTGCAATAACGGAACATTACAATTGCGTTGCGTTAATTTTTTAACGGTATTGCAAAGCGTGAAAAAAGTTTAAAATCGGAGAGAAAAGATACAATATCTGGAAGTGTAATATGTCGAAATAAGAGAAAGAGATATAATATATTTATTCTTCTATATATAATAGTTTTTCGATACTCTGATATAACATTAAAATAATTGTATAATATTTTTATGAATATGTTTTTTTTACGATTTTAGACTTTATAATTTTTACTGGAAATAAAAATGTTAATAAATGTTGTTAAAATATCATTATACGATTTTAAAACGTATTGTTTACATAAATGTATTCTTTACATAAATGTCACAAAATCGATAATCGACTTTTGCTTCTTTTATGCACATACGAGATGTTTCTGTTATTTTATTTCTGTGTTTTCTCGATTTAATCATTTTATAATATGAAGAGATAAATCGAATCACTTAATTTTCGGGCTGGATAATCCGTTACGAGCTCGTCAAGAAGTTTCGCCATTGGCGCGATACGACAGGAGGAAACTGGATACATGACCACTTGGGATTTGCATACTCTCTCATAGTCTAAACCTCATTTGCTTAGGCGAATTGTCGAATTAAAGCAGCGACAATCGGTCGTCGTGCAATGCAAGCGATACCAACGATTTACTGAACCGGAATCGAATCTAGGTCAGATGAGCAATCGGAAAGTCTATTTACTGAATATAGTATGCTCACGGAAATGTCGAAGCAGCATCAATAATGGAATAAGCAATAATCGGCCGCTAACAAATATAGCAGATGTAGTAAAAATCCGTTTAAAGATTTTTGTCGATTATATTAAGTAATACAAAATTATATTCACTCTTTCATTAGATTAAGATTTAATATAAGTACAATTGAACAATCAATATGGCCTTTAACAATTTTTATTTAATTTCTAAAAAAAAAAGAAAAATTATTAATGCCATTCGGCATTATTATTACTTACAAAATTTATAAATTTATTAAAGATTAATATTATCGCGATTTGTACAAACTTAAGTATTAGAAATACATGTCGCACATCAATTTCTATCGAATACGAACACTCACTGAATCGGCCTTTTCATGCACGTGAACGCGAAGCAAGCACGTCGCTGCCATTTACGGTCGCACAATTTTCCGCCACCTCGGCTACCGCTGTTTCTCTCCGGCTTTAATCGCTTGCTCGACATCGTCTCGACAATACGAATTGATGATCGAACGTAAAATTGATCGTTCATAGAGTACCGAACACTTCGCTCAGCAGCAGAGCCCATTAAGAGCTCATATTATGTCGCGAATCAT